AGTAGAGTGAGACTCTGTCTCAAAAAAAAAAAAAAAAAAAAAAAGAAAGAAACACAACCTTACATAGAGCAATTTTAAAAAGTTCAAACTACAGAAAATAGACCAAAATAAAGGTAAAATGTAGAGAAAAGACTTCACAGGGACTTTTAAAAAAGTTTACAATCTTTTATTTCTAGCTTAAAAACAAAAACTTAAATTACTAGGACAATATTTACAGAATTAATCACATTTTAAGCCAGCGGACTGTACGTGAAGGGCTGCTCAGTGTCTTTCATTGGGACAGGCGGGGACAGGTTATGTGACCTGACAGTGTCAGGCTCATTTCCAGAGTTGAGGAAAGGACTTGGTTTCCTGACTGCCCAGCGCAACCAATACTGAAAAAGGTATCAGAGCTGTACCGTATCCATTTTGCTAAGAATAAATACATGCCTTTTTAGTGTTTAAGAGAAGCCTTAATTTTTCTAGGATATCTCTGTAGAATTGTTCTAGAAATGTAGGATTTAGAAAATTCTTATTTTAAAGAAAAAAAAAATAAGCTTGTCTCCCCCATGAGACCTGCCGTCTCTCACGAAGCACTGACAGACGTTTTTGAGGCAGGACTATGGAGTAGCTGGTGTCCGAAACGTCCAGAAGAAACATCAGCAGCTTCCCTGGCTGCTGATGAAGAGGACATCATCCTCTTCCCAGGAGCTGGCAGGCTAGACCAGTGCTTTGGTTCAAAGTGTCTGGAGAACATCTTCTTGCTCCTTTTCTGGAAATGAAACGATGGATACGGAGTCCCAGGCATCGTCCTTTGGTGAGCTGTTCTTGTCCAAGGCCTCTAAGATGGGCTGAGCCGGGTCCTTTAAATACTGGAAGGGGTTGAAAACCAAAATTGCAATTAGTTGATCAGTTCAATGCACCCGACCTTTTCCTTTAGTTTTAGTTGGCATAGTTACATTTTACCCAGATGTAACTTTATACTGTATACCAATGACACAACAACTTTTTTGTCTTTTTTTTCAACAATGAGATAACTTCTAATACTTGAACCCCCTTCACCCCTCACCTCAGCAGTAACTTTAGTACTAATCCAAGGGCCAACTGCATTACTACGCCGAAAGCGTGAAAGGGAGTAACCCAGGGAAAGCAAGTTCTTCCTTGGGGCCTTCCGTGCAGGCTTGTGGTCTTCAATCCTGCAGCGTCCCTAGGGTAG